TCACGTGGAGTTCGTGACTTGTCAACGTCTCCATCCATCATTGCTCTCATCATCTGTTAACCATCCCTCTCTTCCACCGCCTCAAGTGCCTTTCAAATTCTCACTCGCATCTCGGGATCGTGGAACCTGCTAATATTTAAACCATTTATAAACAGTCTGGCAATTTATTAGACTGCGAAGTGAATCTATCTGTGCTTGTATGAAACAAAATTTTAGAGCATATTTTATCTCTAGATATTTAAATAAAAATTTCTATATACTTTGCTTGAATTAATACATTTTATATGCATAAACATACATCCGATATGAAGATTATGAGGCAAAAGCGCGAGGATTGTTTAGAAAAAATATAAGATATCACGTAAAACCGGAGAAACTTAGTGAAAGCAGGCTTCACTTCCAACTAATGTGATTAAAAAAATACGAGTTAATTTTCCGCACTGTCGAGCTGCACATACAATAATTAAAATTATCGTTGACTTGCTATCACGCTTAAATAAGAAATAAGTGTTTCTTTTTACGATCGTTTATGGTTAACCCATCGGCATATGTTATCGCGTTCTTTCTGCAAATTTTTACACCTACTTTCCTTTTACGAGTGTAGAAGAACAGATATAGGAATCCCCACAACGCGTCTTTTATTCCCCGCTAGAAAGGGGAAGATACGAAAAGTATAGCGAGAGATGTCTATCTGACGATATCGTCGCCATTCCAGAGAGCATCAACTTCGAACATTTGCATAAAATTATTATCGCCGCGGAAAATCGCGACTGTTTCACTTTCTTTATACAAGTATCCCCGATGCGATTGGCTCGCATTATGTGTCTGATCATATATTTATCATACATATTTCTGAACATATACATCTATTACGGTTTTATTAATGGGTTTAATAATAGGTAGGTTATTTTTATTTATTTCCACCGTGCATGTTGTGTCGGGATGTCGGGATAAACAAGAATTTCTCTTTTCGCCCCCGAAAATCAGAGATCTCGCTCACGATCTACTTCGATATAATCTTGCCACAGGAACGAGAAGGAGCGAGAAAGAAAGGAAGAGAAAGAGGGAGCATAGCGGTACGAACCCCACGCTTTTATAGCGGTCCATTTGACGTAACAACGAGCGTGGAAACTTCTTTTAGTGTCGGGCTACAGATTCCGGGACCAAACATGCGTACGATTATGGGATCTCCGATTATCAATTTGTTATAGCGTGTTTATTATTTCATCTCTCGGCGAACCACTCGCGTTTCGTCGCTTCGAAACCCCCCGCAGCTGCAAAGTGTCGTACTCTTAGTCGGTTTTGGGGGATAATTTGGAATATTTTATGCGGCGTTATTCCTCCAGATGTTTGCGCCAACGAGCTGGGAAAACTGTATACGAACTGCGAAAGAGAGAACTGCGCGTTTCTTCCTCTCCATAATTCGTTTTGCCAGGTCCAGACAAGCACCGTGTCGAATATTTATAGTCATTTCGTGCCTCTATTAACTGCCGCTAACGTTACTTTAATATAATGACGATTATATAATATCTGTGTACGTGTTTGAAAATATTTGACAGCGCATAAGTTCTAGATGTGTCACGTTTTCTTTAATCTGTGGCAAATTCATTGAAAGATTTAAATGATTTAAATGATACTTTTTTTTTAGCAGAAGATTGATGAGATGTTATTGCGCAATCATTGTAACAATGCGCTTTTTTTATATCAATATGAAGTATATCGACATAAACTGATGATAAATACTTAGCAATTAATAATCAGATTTGTTTCGCAATATTTTCAAGTGATGAGACCACATTATAAATTAATCATTTATATTGGTGGATATCGAGAAGATTCTTTTTTTTCCATCGCACTTCTTATCGTACATTGAATTCGTTTTCATGGATATCGTCGCCTTAAGACTCGTTTTCTTTCCACGAGTAACCGCGGCGACAGCGGGCTGCGGAGTATCATAGTAACTGGGATTTTCTAGGAGAGTTATCTCTAATTCTGCAAGGATTTACTCGCCAATGAATCTTTAAATTAGATGCTCCGTTCTTTTCGTACTGCGCTCTTCCCCGGAGGGTAAAGTCCCGCTCGCTCAATCACCTATATCATGGAATCGCCGAGTATAGTCAATTCCTTCCACCCTTCTTTCGTTATCGAGCCTTTACGCCATCCCCTTCGGCATCGCTCCGCTTATTTGTGTCTTGCCGTAGGCTCTCCTCTAAAGAAACCCTTCGCTTTTATGCGACCGTTTTATTTTCAACTCCGTCCGTATGGATTATAAAGCTACGATAATTTTATTTGGCAAATTTGCGAGCGAGTCGGGCTAAACTATTAACGGCGTCGAGTATCACCGCTATATTAATTAATGACGGAAACGTAGCCCGAGACAGTAGTTTAGTAAGAAGCAGTTCGGCCATGAAAATGGCCGTCCCGCAGGAGGGTGTAAGACGGAGGATATAGCGGGAGATAGCGACGAGAGAGGAGATGATGATAATCCAGCTTCTAGCCTAGTCCTATCCCGAGGGATGCAGGGATTAATTGACACATCGGCGTCTTGGAGGAGTCTGCTGGGCTGACGCCTCCGCTTTGGCACCCAGCGACGTGACTGATGAGACGCCCGGAACAAGGCGTCGGGAAAAACACTCGTAGATTCGTGGCTTTTTTGTAGAAAAGGTATCCAGCAAGAATTACCGACGAAGCATGGAAGCATCGGTGTCGCGCCTCTTCTCCTGGCAAATAACTCAACTAATCAGACCTCGTCCTCGTTCATCGTCCCATCCGCGGCGTCCCCGAACTAAAACATCTCAGCTGGAGGGCACGTAGATGTAACAGATTGAAATTTAATACGCGCAGTATGGTGACACATACGGAAAGACGAGATGTTACTTAAGGTTTCGTAGGACACACACCGTTCATCGGCGGAGGAGATAGGACGCCGCGTGCGAAAATTCATCCTAGGATGAATTCGACGATTAAAATCATTATCCCGTAATAAAGGGATAATGAGTTTAATATTCCGATTGATTATAATTTATTACAATTTACGAATGTCAGCTTGGAATAAAGAAGAAATAATTTCAACGAGATAACACGAGTTCGTCAAACTAAAGCCGAGATGGAAAATTTCCGTAATTACATTACAATATCGCGTTTAATAACAAATCGCATTTGAATAATATTTCACGAGAGACGCAAATATTTAAATCGTCCACATGCATTTCTAAATAATCAGATTTAAGTTTCAGTAGAGCAATTTTTTTCGTTTGCTCCCAAGAATATAATTATAAAGAGGTACGATAGGCTCGCAAATCACAAAGAGATGACCGAGGCAGCCCACGATAAGGGATAACACGGTAGTTGAAAGCAAAGAGCCGACGTGTACGAGGCGTCGGTGGCGGCACCCCATGTGAGTTATGGCCGTCCCGACGCTCTCTCCCGCTAGTCCAGGGCTCAATTTACAGATGATTCCGCGTGTTACCGCCTGGCCAGAGGCTGGTTAACCTCCGTGCCAAACACTTAATCTTCCGACGTGTCCTGCGGACGGTCCGACCGCGTTTTGGAGCTGGCGCGACGTTAAATCGCCGTTGTAGACGCGAGATCAACGTGAGAAAGAAAGAGAAACCGGGGGATAGATAAATGGACCAAGACGTAGGATTACCGGACGTTTGGCGGGTTCTAGTGGCCCATAAAGTTAACCGACCCTTCGTGTACCATCATACGAGTGCGAGTGTTGATGAATCGAGTGATCATGCGATTTTCACGTGTAAAATTAATCCGCCCTAAAAATACATTTTCCACGCGTTCCCTTTATTTTGTTGCGTTTATTTATGCATGACAAGTGGAGTACGAGTTATCTACTGGAAGTTTCGCGACAGTTTATCTTCGCAACGTTGAGTCGGAAAAATATTTGCAGCCACTTTTCCAACAACTTGTTGGCTATTGCGGGGGCTATCGAGGACCGATAAATTTGTACCGCGAATCCCTCCGCAGATTCATTGGCTCTCGATAGCCGACACAAATTATTGGAGAAACGAGAATGCTCGCATATATCTCTCTGACTTAACGTAGCGGAGGTAATTCGCAAAACTTGTCGTATTGTGCAAAATCTCAGCGAATTTTTACGTGTATAAAGGGCAGGCGATAATAAAGTATATATATATCTTAATACACGAAACATTAACTTCAGTAAATTATACAACGTACTATAAATTACGCGCGAGCACACACAATATAAATGAGTCGTATGAATTATGAAATGCGGTTTTGCTTAGCTGCATTTCGGTCGAAAAGTCCGAATGCTTTCTTGTTCGACGAAAAGACGATACGTCACAATTTGCTCTCTAATATTTGCAAATGTCCGGAAATGTTTTCGCCTATTAGGCATTCCAGATATGCAGCAGTTACTACTAGGTAGGAAAGGAGAGGCCTGGAACTGTCATTAGCCGTCGGATAGTAGGCACCCCGTGGCGAGCCACAATGTGGCGGCGAGAAGCCAATAGACTCCTAATGCTGTAAACGGCGCGCCGAATCCTAACAGCCACCATTAATTGACTTTCATGTTTGTCACATTACATCTGTGACAAATTTCCAATGTAATTGTGTCCATCCATGGATCTCGATAAAAATGACGCGTGAACGGTTAATTTTCCACAAGATTTTCCGCCGATACGACTTTCAATTATATAACTTATTGAAAAAAATTTAATTTAATCTCCGATTAATTAATTATTCATCCTTCACAGATTTAAAGAAGATTTAAAAGCACATTTTATTTCAATTAACGATTATTGATGAGAGACATAATATGCATTGTATGTTTATAATAATTATATAATATTGTAATCATTAATATACGTTTTATTTGATTCAGTGTTTTGGTTTGCAGGGATATTTCTTTATTTTTATATTCAGGTATTGAGAAATTCCTCGTCATGTTGAAAAGCTTTTTTGTCTGTATTCAGATAACGATCGAGGCGAGACAAAACGACTCTCCTCGATGAGAGACTTACCCTGCTGGTTACTCTTCCTAGTGGTTTTCTTCTCCTTCATCCAAGGATACTCAGGAACATTGACACCTGAAGGGTCAGCGACACCATGGGGATCCATCATAGTGTGATATGCGGGATGATGAGCGCCAGGACTGATGGATCCACCGGTCCCCGGTGAATGTTGCAGGCTGCTGTCCCCGGCTAATTGCGGCAATGCCGTCATAAATTCGGCCATGGAGGGCTGGCTGTTGATAAAGCCGGTTTCGGCGGATCCGCATGTCGGGTCCATGGCTGGATGATGGGTCCCGTGCGGGGGCAGCCCGGCTGGGGTACTCGCCCCCGCGGCCACTGTGGCCAGCCAGAAGCCGCCCCCTCCGTCGTTCGCCAGGACGGGTGTCGTCGGCCTCGTCTTCACGGTCGAGAGCTCTTTGCTCGCGTGGACCAAATTTTGAAGGTGATTGCCGAGCTGCAGATTGCTGGAGTTGGGCAACTGCGGTTGGCGCAAATCTTCCTCGAGGTGTGCCAACGCTTGTTGCTTACTGCGCATAGGACGCACTAACTTGCACTTGCATCGGTGTTTGCTTCGATCTTCCGAGGTGAGAAACGTGATAACCAGGGGACGATTTAATTGCCAATTTGCGATAAATCGTCTTCAGGATGATCTGTTACGGATCTTGAAGAACGCACCGTTCACCGAAACCGGCTCGAGAAATGTTTCACTGCTTAACTTTCGTCTATTTTTCAACTTTGAGCGTGTACTATGCGCTTATGTTAAAACGCGTCGCGTCATTATAACAACTATAGAAATTTATTTAGACGATTAAAAGGAGCATGAATCTGATTACGATAGCTTATTATCTTTCTTTTCGTATATAATGATTAGCGTACGATGCAAGGTTCTACTCATTCTCTATTCTAACGATACAGAAACCGATCACTTTTCTGTTTTATCCGTCTTCTTCTTCAGCATCGCTCTTTCTTAATCGAAACACTTATTTATTTACTCGTGTTATCGCTCGAGCCTGACTCGTGCACATGGATTGGTGAAGCAAATGCCAATTGTTTACCACATATTCACTGCACACTACGGCATTCACCACGGTACGTCATCGTAAATTACATATCCGTGCTCATCTCCGAACTAGCTCCGAAACAACTCGTCTCGTGCGGCATTAATGTTTAACCTCGGTGCCAAAAGGAAGCGGATTCTCGAACGGCACGGACATGACACTGCATACTCGCGATCGGCGTACGGCAGATCGCGGAGCCGCGATCTCGACGGGAACAACCGGGACACAGATCACCACTGTCACACGAAGTCGCGACGACGTTTGATCGATAGTCCGAACGATCGACGGAGAACACCGTGCCGAATCGCACGGCTACCGTCGCCGTACCGATCGGCCGAAACCCAGGCAAGCGGGCTAGGGTCCGGTGCTAGGGTCCGCCAAGCAGTCACCGATACCGCGGTACACTCGCTAAGTGACGATGGAGAGAGAGAGGACGTCGAGAGATAGCGGCCACGGGAGGGTGGGGGGTCCGACATCCGAGCAGCCCGTGGTGGAGGTATTCGCCGACGAGGCGCGGTAGGAGAGGCGATCCGAAGGACGTCCCGTAGAAAGAGACGGTCGTGTCTCCAGTCGACCGAAATTCCCTACGATCTTTTTCGCCTCACCCGACGTTCCCGGTGTCTCTGTTGTTACCGCTGTCTCTTTCCCCGTTCCGGGAGGGGGTGGTTAGTCCACTTGGGCATCGAAGGTGGAAGTCGTCCTTTAATGCGGCGGCAGCCCCGGTCACGTGACACCGCTCGCCGGGAACGGGGCGACCAATCGCGGAGCGGTAACGCGCCCGGTGAGGCACAGCCCTCCGCTGACGTAGGCGGGCTACCCTGTCGTGACGATGGTGGTCTTGGAGGACTCGGAGGGCACACGCGAACCAGGAGGGTACGACGGCCAGGTCCGTGCCGTGAGAGTGCAGGCGGGCGACTCTCTTGGTGCGGACGAGCACGAGGTCCGTTTGGGCGGCCACGGTTATCCGGCGCAACTGTGGGCGGTACGCGCGAGCGCATCATTCAGTATCCGCTCGAGTGGTGGGGAACCTTCTCACGTGCTCAGCCACGCGGTCCTCCACCTTCGCCTGCCTCGGATGAGCGTCCGAATCGAGGTGCGACAGTCTCTCGCTTTTATTAACGGCTCGATGCGCGCGATACCGCGAATTCGTCCGCGAAACGATCACGGGAATGTCGCGAACGCAGCACTCGACGTACTTTGACTTTGACCCCGTCACAGGTATAGTGCACGTATCCAATTTTCTTGCGATCGTATTCAATTGTTTCCTCGTCTAGGAAAACGCAGTAGCACATTTCTAGTGATATGCCAACAAGTTTCAAGCATATTTCTGCCCATTTTGACAATTCACATCTTCATCGCTTTGTACATGTATATGCGTTTAAATCATGCAAGTATGATATTATATATAAAATGCTCCCTCGGGAGAGAATTTGAATTGGATCGGTTCATGGATCTCTTGAATGCAACCGTGTCATTGTTGCAACGATCGGGGTTGCTGGGGGTGCCGATTGGTATTCGTCGCGGAGCAGTTTTGATGACAGATTACCCTGATTCGCTTTGTGGAAGAGCTTTCATTTAGACAGGCAGTTTGATTGAAAAGTTCACTGTCGCTACCGAAGAAAAAAAAATTCGTGGCACTACCCTCATCGAGCGGTCCGTATGAAGCAAAGTCGTTTACTCGTTTCAATCGATCCCCTTTAGCGTGAGAATACCTACAACAACGTGTTGTAGATCGTTAAACTAAATAAATGGCACGTATGTGTATCACGTTGCAACAGAGTGATAACGATAAAATAAACGTTTAGATTTATACATGCTATTCTCGATTTTGTACAGGATTTTACGGTTAAATTATGACAGAATAGAAATTTTTAAAAATGTTACACGTAAGATTTATATAAGTTTATAAATTTTTATTAAAAAATTACAATAAAAACACGAAATTGAAAGAAAATGATGACAAACTTGCTCTATAATAATAGTTTAAATATTAGTTGGAATTTTTTTACTCTATTTATTGCATTTAAAGATTTTTAATCAATGTATAGTTTCTATTAACATTCGTAATACACATTATTAGTTGAAATGACAATAAATTAACTTTTCAACTGACTTCAGATATTAAGTCAAGTACGATGCATAGCCACAGATTATATAAAAAATAGTATTATATATTAAATTTGTCATCATTACATCAATATTTCATATTTTTATTAATTTCTTTTAATAAATAACTTACAGACTTATGTTCATATAAACATTTTTTCTTCTTGTCTCCACAGTTTGGTCGAATAAATTTTGGGATAGCCAGTAAATCTTAGTAAAAATGTTGAAAAAATTTGAAATAAATATTCTCAACGACAAATATGAAACAAATATTAAAATCCAATAAAAATGAAAAATCTATAAAAGAGATTAAACGAAATTTTTCTCGAAACTTGCGTTTATATGCAAAAGGTGATTTAATTTCGGATTTTTCTCCAAGATCGTATTAATGATATATTCAATTGCGTCAGTGGGTTAGAAGGAAATTTCCGCGGGGAGAGAACGTCGACCATCCCGAAGCGCAAAGCGGACGCGGGTAGTTAAGAGGGAGGTTTGCGAGAGGAGGCCGTGGGAGCGAGAGAGGGCGAGGGTGAGGTATCGGTGAGAGAATGAGAGAACGGAGAGAACACCCTCCACATCTGCCACCAGATTTAACTATACATTACAGACACACGATATGTCAAAGTCCTATACTTCATATCGACTCTGCCATTTATTAAAAGTTTCATCGCGCGCGCCTCGCTCGCGCCACCGATGTTCGGCAGAACTCCGACCCCCTTCCCTCGGACGTCTCACCCCGAAAACATATATAGGAAGAAAGGCCCGAAATATATACGAACGAAAAGTTCGGGAGAGGAAGGCAAAGGGGGCGGATTCTCCTCAGATCGACACAGTTGCTCGCGCTTCGCGCGATAAAAGCGACTCTGCGCTATCTTTCTTCGGCGAATTCTTTATTTTACTTTGTTTGCGCGAAGAAAAAAAGAGAGAGAGAAACCGAGAGAGGCAATTTTTGGATTTTCTATTCTGATTTATTAATCTCAAAACGATTCGCCGTCTCGAGTCTCGTGGCGTTTACGAAAGTTGTCGCCAAAATTTTTTTATCCCGTCGTACTGCAAAATTTTGTCGAAGGTAAAAAGTTATATTTGGAACAATGCCTCCTACCGCGAAAAGCTTAATGCCGGAAAAATAAGACTCTTTCTCTCTCTTTATTTCAAAGTTCCCCTTTTTTGTGACGACTGCGGAATTTCTGCGTGTCGGATCTTCGCGTTTCCTCCGGCTGCTGCCGATTGCGAAATGAAGTTTTATATTAAGCTCAGAGTTTTTTTTCTTTTTCTCTCACACTCCTATTTCGCGTGCGCGAGCGAGTCTCTCGCCGCTCCCTTTTCCCTTTTCTCTCGTGCCATCGCTTCTTCTCCCACGCTCGTCCTCGCCCTTTGTATATTTACGTACCGATAGATCGTTATATTGGCGTTTGCATATATATTGACGTTGCTGCCTCTCCCGCGACGAGATGCATGATATATCGGGTGTCACGGGTGAAACGCGTACCTGCCGTCTTGCGTCTTTGCAATAATTCGAATATTCATTGTTGCAACGGATTAATATAGCGCGTGCTTGTAATGCTCGTATGTGTCGACATCATGTACACGATGGAAAATTTATCAAACGCGTTTCATATACAAGAGAGAGCGACTTGACACGTTGACTAGGTTGTGATTCATCGTTTGATGAGTCGTTATAATTAGTTATCAAAAGAAACGCATACCGAAAGTAGCGCATCCGCCATTAAAAGTAAACCATCTTTCATCGCCATTTTAACATGCCAACCGGCACAAGTCCACGAGTAGGGCTCGACCTGTCAATCTCACCGGATCACTGAAACGGGTCTCTGTCGGGTCCTTGCTCCACTGGAACGGAGAGGCTTGCTTTTCGTACCTAAAACTCCACTCCCCACTCGACCCCTCTTCTTCCAACTTTTTCTTCCTCGTCGTCTGGGGTAAAAGCGAACTCGTTAGACGCTCCAAGTGAAATTTTCTCCCGTCCCGTTGGATGGCTAGTGTGCCACCGGAAATGCTATAGAGCGCTTACTTTCACTACCGCTTTTTAAACTCGTCTATCGATTATCGCGTTGCTTCGAAGATTGTTAAAAAATTTTTCCTCACTTCTATCCGAAAAAATTCTCGACAAAAAGCAGACTTTCGCTTCAAGTGTACAATGTGTATAATTTAAAAATCCATCGGATTTAATTTCTCTTAAATGTGATTTGTCAAGGCAAAATCTTAAATTGCAGTTAAATAATAATTAATAATTGTTTGATTATGATAATGTCTCAATTAAATACAAGACGTGAACAGAAGCAGACGCGATTAAATGATCATCGGAGATGAAAATCATTCGTAAAGCGAGCTTGAGATTGTCAACGAGAGATTGTCACGCCGCAAGGATATACATATACGTAAAAGTGAGCTGGTTCGTGTTGAACAGCAACGGCGGTTCTTGCGATTAGCGCGCGACTAAGGGGAACTCCGTGGCTGAGGAGTCTGAGGTTTTAATTAAGCATTCACTGCGGATGATATCGCATGCCTCTTTATACTTCATAGCGACCAGATGTTGCTACGAGAATGTTCCTTGCCTTAAGTCCTCTTCCCTCTGATTCGAGCCAGCCGGAACCGCACGAGCGACGTTTCTCCCGTCGCTATTTCGTTTTAATTATGCATATTTAATTTGCTTATATCCTGCCCGAGCGCGTGTTGCGCTGGCAAAACTGCGGATGCTTTCCACGACGACGATCATTCATTCGTTTTTAATTAGCGGATCGTAACGGGTGACTTTTCCGATTTCAATCGAAAAATTTTGCAATAGCGATTTAATAAACGCCGGGAGAGTCGATAATCGAGCGCCTACATTCATTAAACTTGAAATTTGCGAGAGTCTGTAACAAGTTTTTATCATTCCCCTACTTTTTCCCGGTCGAATTCGGGACTTTCCTTTCGAGTTATTTTTCAGGGATGGGAAAAGAGAGACAGAGAGAGAGAGAGAGAGAGAGAGAGGGAGGGAGATTCTCTGCGCGAATGGAACAAATCTACCTCCAGAACTCGAGGTATACCCAGTTCTACAGCCGACACTTGGCGCAAATTGCCCCAGTAAGTGTAGTACATTAATCTTTGGTTTGGTTTGGTCTCGGCCACCGCGTGTGTTGCGGTGGCCGCATTTCTCGTAAACCTTCTCTTTCTCCGCACCGACATGCCGCATGTCCGAAGACCTTCTTCACGTTTCC